ACGCTTCCTCCGCGTCGTTAACGCTTCCTCTCCCGTAGTTATCCCGTATTCACATGTACGCGTCGTTCACGCTTCCTCTCCCGTAGTTATCCCGTATTCGCATGTACGCGTCGTTCACGCTTCCTCTCCCGTAGTTATCCCGTATTCGCATGTACGCGTCGTTCACGCTTCCTCTCCCGTAGTTATCCCGTATTCGCATGTACGCGTTGTTAATGCTTCTTCATCCGTATCTATCCCGTATTCACCTGTATGCGTTACTGGCGTCCCCTTTTCCCGTGGGTAGCCCGCTTTTGTATTCGTTGTTGACGCTACGGTCTCCCGTGAGTATTCGCTGATAATAGATGTCCCTGTTTACCTTGTCACCATCATCACTGTAACGAGCGTACCTGGCCGCGTCGTTGCAGTGCTAGACGCCCTGCCCAGCCGTGCTCCTACCTGCGCAGAGATTGACCGCGCTGTAGCCGACAAGGTCAACGGTCCAAGGGTTCTTGGAGAGTTGTGCGGGTACTACCGACGCCAATGCCAGAGTGGCGAGGAGTTTAGCGAAGAGTGCGCCACACAGGTTCAGGCCAGTTGCAAGGCAGCCATCCGCAGCTGTGGTAAGATCTTATGATGTGGTCTCGTTTCCCCGCCACTCGTGCGACAGTCGTCGTCGACAGATGCCATCAACAGACTACTCTCAAAATCTAAAAATAATTAAAAAATAACCTTCACCTCTTTATTGTTAAGCAAAACCAGAAAAGCTATCTTGTTAATTTTAAAAGAACGTGTCAAAGAACCGTTATTTTCACTTTGCCTGTTTATTTCATTCGTTTTGTCACTGATAGACTATAAGTGATTGCCCCATAATGATTGACATCGCGAGCTGCTATCGAAATTAGTGTTTGGCAATTATGCTCTCTATACGCATTACATACTTCACAAGAGGTAGTTTTGAAAGTTCGAAAAAGTTTTATCACCTTGCTCCCTACCATAAAGTATATATATATTTCTCTAACGTTATCTAAGCAACACACAACAGTACATTTTACAATGACATCGTTGCGTTCCTTGCGTACAGCTCTGCAGCAGCTGCCAGCGAGCCCACCAAGCTGCAGTGCTATCCGCGCGACAAAAGACGATTCCGAAGAAGTTCGCAAAACTAAGATCATCAACATGTGCAAGTACTACGTGCGCGAGTGCAGAAATAACCAAGAGAATCTGTTCTCCGACGCGTGCGTCGATGAATTAACAGCGAAGTGCAAAGCCCGGATCCAATCCTGTAGTAAGTCGATGCGGTTATTGAATATATTCATGTCATATTAAATAATGTGAGTGAATAATGTGAGTAGCGTATATTTTGTAATGGCGGTCCTTGGGGGCAAGTTTTGTTTTATTACAGTTTTTATATTAGCAAGAGAGTGGGTTTTATAGTTTCGGGGGAAATTACGGTTAAACACCCCCATGAAGGCCCCGGGAGCCAAACCCTGATTTTGGGCGGAACCCTGCACTGAGAGTTAAAGTTTTTTTCTTTGCTGATTCTTGTAGACTAGGTGTTGGTCTTCACTTTTTACGTTGGAATGACCACCCGTCACCTTGAGCAATTTTCTGTAAGTAACCCTGTTTGTGTGCAGAAGCGTTCAACTGCAAAAATTGGCGAAAATTCAGGGTGTGGGGAAAACAAAAAGTCTTCACTAGATTGTTGTTGTTAAAGCTAATGGATCATGGTTGACCACTCAAATGTTTCGGTCATTTAGAGCTCTTTATCTAATGATTAGTCTGAATAATTGAGGCTCACTAAATTGTTTAAAAGGTCTAGCAATTTTTGACCGTCCTCGACGAATCTTGAATATTTGCTTTTAGCACCCGGCCTTGGCCAAGAACAGGCTTCTAATGGTGCTTCATTTAACCCTAAATTTTGTTCAAGGCAGTCATGCACCTGCTGTCATTTTAAACCACCATGATCAAATAGGTGGAATTGTTGACCGGTGACAACCTCATTAACAAAAGTAAAGACTAAGTGATGTTGCCTAATAGCTGTTTTTATTACCCAACAATTGATACGCTTACTAGTAAATCAGAATTTCTGGTCGATCTAGAGATCAATCCCTTTGCTCACTCCACGAATTGACAATGGGGAAAGTCAAAGAGTCGCTTTAGTCCTAAGATTGCGTGCGCATATTTTGCACCACAACTTACAGTGGTCAAAGAGTCATACAAGTACACCAGTTAACTGCAGGTCATGTTTGTTTCGATTCGAACTGAACTAGCCATCATTTTCAAATAAACCATGCCCATAGGGTATTGCGGTCATCAGGTAGGAAGAGGAAATCCATCTGATCAGTGATTGTCTTGATGACACTGAGATTGTGTTTTGTCCTGATACTAGTGCTACTATTATGATTCGAAGTGACACATAAAGTCAGTTCATCAGTGGAATTCACCAGGTGATAAGGTAGGACCGTTGATTGACAATTTCGGTGAGAACAAGCAAAAAACACAGATGGATTCGCCTAAAAATCTCCTTCAAAGCTTGCACGCCCTTTTCAGGTGCGACACGGTTGCCACTACTTTTCGGAATGGGTTTAAAGAAACTGTTTATTCAGATTGTCCTCTTTAGGGTTGTGACCGTAACTGGCCTCGGAACTTCCGCGGCATGGTCTTACAACCATTGCCACAACATTCCGTATCAGCTCTGCTACTGGAATAGCAGAAATGTCTCGTGGATCATGTCACAGGTGTCGCAGTCCAGCTTTTGGCTGCTAAACAATGGCCAGGGCGGTCACCTCGTCTCGCCAAAACTATGATTCACTAGCTCACCTACGGACTGTCTGAAACACACAGAAAGAATGTCTTAAATATTGTGTAAACGTGCACACTACCAAGCCATTCTTGCGATACACCGTCAGGAAAACATTCCCTCTCTCTGTTGGACTCCAGAGGAATTTGGATATGGATGTAAGTGGATACAGGACACCAAAGACCACTCAGCACCTGCTCACGCTTCCTAGAAACTCGCCTTTTGCTTGCCCCAGAATATATCCTTCGCTGTATGAAAATTGTGACGTTGTTCTGGCTGATCGTCCATGCTCAGAAAGTGTTCATGCAAAGATGTTTGGTCACGTTACAATGCACAATGTTTTGTGCTTGCGTACAGCATTGCGTTGTTCTACGAGAGAGCTGAATGGTTAGAGCTTTGAAACTGAAAGACTTTCTTACGAATAATGGGACTACCATGATTCTTATATTTCGCCTGTAGACAATTAGCTGTACGAGTGCCACATTTGACATTAGAGCATGCCTAGTCTCTATGCAATCCAATATCAAGTATTTAATGAGAATTTCATTCTTTAAAAAATACGATAATACTAATGGCTACCGTATGGGTGACGTTATTTTAATATTGATTGCTTATAGTCTATTGTGCTCTGTTCGTAAAGTACAATAAAAACAACTGACTGGCGCCTAATTGTTAGGAACTTGTTAACGTAAGCGCATATTCATAAAAGGAGCAATATCCTGGCATGATAAGCGTACATTTGTTGGTTTAGGTGATACTAGATCTTATGTGTCCAAATGGTTTACTTTGACCGTGTAAGTTTGGTGCAAAATATAACGGATAAGTGCCTGCATAACGTCTCTGCAACATGATAATTTCGTTCATTGCATGTGCTTTTTGTTGTTTTTGATTGAATTTT